GGAGAAACCATCACTGTCTGTGATGCTGCAAATTCCCTCTGTTCTCAAGTTGTCTTAACCTCTTTTGATGATAAGAAATTTAATTTTCATGTAGACAAATTCATCAAATGTTTATTTTATGGTGTATGATTTATTTTCTTTCAGCTTAGGAAGGCCTTCTCCATCATGAAATCCAATGGTCAACTAACAGTTTTAGTTTCCATTTTCTTTTATCTATTTTAGTTATCAATAATTTATTTTAGAATATGATAGCAAACTTACACTTAAAAAATCTACATTGTAATAATAAGAAAGCATAAAGCTTTCCTCAGAAAGAAAATTCTGATCACACAGACATAATATTTATGAGTAATTAGTATTTACTGGTTGCCTGCCAAGGAAAGGCATTGATGGATGATCTGTAAATCAGATCTTGTCTCATTTGACTGGACAGGTGCCAGGTAGTTGGCGTCATTTTCATTTTGACTTCAAACAAAAAGACAAAACCAAACCTACTGCCATCAAGTTGATTCTGACTCACAGTGGCCCCCACTGGGTTTCCAAGTCAGTAGCAGTAAATCTTTATGGAAGTAGATTGTCTCATCTTCCTTCTAAGAAGCAGCTGGTGGGTTTGAAGCACCAACCTTTTGGTTAGCAGTCAAATGCCTTAGGCACGGCACCACCAGAGCTCCTTTATTTTGACTTAATGGAGACTGGACTCTAATCTTGGATACATGCTCAATTTCTTCCAGTCATAAATTCTGTATGGCCTTGGTTGTTTAAAATGAGATTTGGCTGAAGAACATTATGAAGATACAGACTCTCTTTCATCATATACATGATCACACATATATCAACTCCCTCTCTATCCATGAATCACATGCTCCTGTACAGTCTAGTCTTGTAATTCCTCCCATCTACCAAAACTAGGAGTTTTTGTTAGGGCTCCTCCTTTCCTTGTTGTTGTTGTTGTTGTTATGTGCCATTGAGTCAGACCCGACTAATAGCGATCCCTCCTTGGGTTTCCGAGGCAGTATCACTATGGAAGTAGATTGCCCATATCTTCCTTCCGAGGAGTGGCTGGTGGGTTTGAACCACCAGCCTTCTGGTTAGCAGTCAAGTGCCTTAGGCACTATGCTACCAGAGCTCCCCCTCCTTTCCTTAGAAGCATATAAACTTAAGCAACAAGATGAGAAACAAAAGATAGAAATGACTGGCTTGACACATCAGAAGCATGCCACATTTACCATAGAAAGCAAATCTAGTCTTTCCTTTGGAGGTAGAGTAGTGTCAAAAAAATGGCAATTTAGTGAGGACAGATGAACTGCCAATTGATGTCTTTCAGATTTCTGAATAACTTAAAATGTAATTCACAGAAAAGCATTCTTTGGAAAGAAATAAATCTGACAAACACAAAAGAAAATGGGGTTCCAGGCCATGCAGTCTTTTAAAAACAAACAAACTGAATCTAAAGGAAAATGTCCAATAGTTTACAATGAAGAACACATAAAGCAGTCAGCCGATTTGAATCTTCATGCATTTAAGAAGCAAAATGGGAGTCAGAGATGCAACTGTGGTCTGAACAATACTTACAAGATAACAAGATTACCTGACTTTTCTAAATTTCCAAGCAGCTAACAATTAAGAAAACAAGAGACATTTGTTGATTTGCAAATGTTTACTACAAATACACCACAAAACACAAATAATCCATTATTGTGACCCACAATTATTTTCCCACTCACCACTGGGGAAAAAAATTGCTAATAAATGCTACTACAGACTAAAAAGCTGTGCCATAAAACTGACAATTGCAATACTATCCAATTTCAAAAAATAAAAGACAAAAAAAAAAAAAAAAAAGAACTGCACAGTGAACAAGACCAATGGCAATTATTGCTACTACGGACTTTCGGCATAGAAGTTGAATTGGTCAGCATTGTAGTTTAGGTAGGGCACGCATGCAACTAAATTGTTGAAGTGAAAGTCATAAATTTTTTAAACAAAAGACTCAAATCAGGAAATTGCAGGATTAGATCAGATGGTAGCAAACTTGGAGGCAGAGCACACAGGCACGCGTGGACACTGAAGCAGGCAGGCACAATGCCTACCACAGTCACTGCAGAAATGCATGGCTCGACAGTGCCGCCCAGACCAACATGAGGCAATGCAAGGTAGGGAGGCTCTCTGATGGTCAGAGGCTAGCACTCAGCAGTTTGTGCTGAGTTACTAAGCTGATCTACAGCAGTGTTTTCCTTCTCTGGGAGCTGAGTGTGTGGGAGAAGGAGTGAAGGTGTGTTAGAAAAGATACAACCCCTAAAAGCTTAAACATTCTTTGCTCTATCAGGCAGCTAAGATAAAAGACACAGACTTTGTTTTGTAAAGCTCTAGGTGCCAGAAAGCCAATCCCCATTTCTCAGAAAATGGGAAAAATGTGATAGCTAAAATGCTTTGAAGCATGAAATATTCCCACAATATTTCCACAAAATGAAGAGCTGTCCAGTAAATTTAAGTGGACACACATACGGGGTGTAATCCTCTAAGCAAAACAGTGACTGCAAGTTTCACTGTTTTAAAGTGAAAAGGAGACTGATGTTAAAAAGATGATGATGGTTTTATAACAATACAACCTTCAAGTTCTTACCTAGAATGTGCACCTGTGAGAGGAGGGAGAAAATCAAAAGACAGGACTAGGAGGGTGGCGTGGCGTGGGGTAGGGTGAGAGCATTGAAGTAATGTGAAACTTACTGGGATTAATATTAAACTTAAAAGTGCACCATTCAACATTTGCCTTGAAGTGATTTCTAAAATGAATTAATATTCTAAAATGCCCAAAGTAAATATAATTTGACCTATCATTACCAAATCATAATCTTGCTAAATAGGTGAGTTGCCTTGTTTTCATTGGTCAGTGAAAGAGCAGTGGGGCAGGCTGTCAGAAGACTCCTCTTTGCAGTCCAGTTCTACCAAGTCCTCACTGTGTGAATCTTGGTAAGGAAAAGTACTCTCTGGGTCTGTTTCCTCATGTGTAAAATGAGGAAATCATCACAACCTCAGAAAGCTGCTGTGAGGATTCAGAGTTAACATACAGGAAAGCACCTGGGACAGAGCATGGCACTGGGAAAGGTCATAATGAACTCTTACTACTTCTCTGGGTGTGTTTTATGTGGCCAAGCTATTACCCATCTACGTGTGCTATTCAGCAGGAGTAAAATTCATGTTCAGATTATCAGCTTTGTGTTTTGGTTTACTGCTTAGAGACAAGAGCCAAAGTGTTTTGATAGCACAGTCTATTAGCTGTGACCTAGTTTAACTGAGATGTTGCCTTATGCCTTTCTCTAGAAACAGTTTTACTCAGATGGCAATGTTGATATAGTAAGGATGTCACATTTACAACAAATATCCTTATGCTTCTATTAGGGAACATTGGTGGGGACTAAGACTGCTACAAGGCAGAAGGTTGGCTTTGGCCATCTTACCCGGGAAGAAGATGAACACTCTGGGTAGAACAACAAATTGAGAAAAGAAAATGGAACCCAAGGCAATTTCAGAAACCTTGTTAAGTGGCCCTAGGAAAGTTAAGAATCCCTCTGGCTGGCTGCCTGGAAGCTTTAAAATTATTCCCAGATAGATGCTGGAAAGAGTCAAAAGGAAAAATAAGGAAAAATAAGTAGAAAACTGTACGTGGCTAGTGATCATATCACAGAAGGAAACACATCTTTTTATGTGAGGCCCCAGCCAGGGGTAAGGGACTCACCAACAGCTCATTCATTTAATGACTACCCCTCCTACACACACACACACACACACACACACACACACATACACACACACATACAAAGCTTAAACTTAGTTTGACTTTACTGCTAATAAAATATCAAATTCAGTATTCCCCTACTGAATTGAAGTCTTTCTACTTTCAAATAGAAAGTAACAAAGTGCTAACCACTTCCTGGTCTGCTGTGGGATTCTACTGCACTGTCAGCATCTTCATCACCTTCAGATCCAAATGCCTCGAAATCACCCTGAATGCCTCTGCTGCTCACAGTGGATGGTAACTGTCTTTCTCTCCTGCTCACAGGGGAAAAAAAAAAAAAAAAAAAATCCCAGGACCCTTGCTTTAGCCTCCCACTTGCTTTCCTGTGTGTATGTATGCCTTTGTGAAGAGTTCATTCACTCTCATCTCAGCGTAGAAAAATGGTTGCATCCACTTTTATAATTCCAATGCCCTATGGGACAGGAGACTCATAGGTCATACAAACTATTTGTGCTCAACTAGTAACTGAAAGGTTGGCATTTTGAATCCATTCAGCAGTGCCATGGAATAAAGGGGATCTAGTTCTGTAAAACTTCTGTAAAATTAAAGCCATTGAAAACCCTGTAGAACAACAGTTCTACCCTGAAACACATGGAGTCACTACCATGAGTCAGAGTCGACTCAAAGGCAGTGAGGTTTTTTTTTTTTTTTAACATTAAACATTTAATTTAACATTAAACTCAACAGTTGAACACAAAGTCACCCACTTCCTGTGCCAAACTCCCAAATTACGCATTGCTGTCAATAATGTCACCATTCTCAGTATATCAAATCCAAACTGTCAATCTCTCCCTTCCTCTCACTTAAAATCTTATTGATATACCCTTCCCAACAGAGCTTAGAGTCATCAGGACCATCCACTGTGTGTAATGTCACTGAGGATCATTCTTTGATATAGTCCCTCAAATCAGCTTTATACTTAAAGATAAGAGTTCACAAGTTTTAAAAGTACCATGTAAGTCACTTGACTGCTAACCAGAAGGGTGGTGGTTCAAACCCAACAGCCACTCCTAGGAAGAAGGTTGGGCAATCCAGTTCTGTAGTGATACTGCTTCAGAAACCCAAGGAGGGGTTGCTATGAGTCAGATCCGACTCAACGGCACATAACAACAATAGCAACAACATGTAAGTCTTTTGAAGTATTGGACTTTTTCTTTTTTCTTTTTTTTAGTCACTCCTGTGTATTGATATTAAAAGCACATACCTCTTTTGGTAAAGACACTAATTTATTTCTGTCTGCATTCAAGTTGCTCAACTTCTTAAGTTTTCCAACGCTCTTAGGTAAGGTCTGTCAAAATAACATTTTCATTATTAATCTAAAGCATCTTTTTAACATGGCTCATAGTTTTTAAAACAGATATTTTCATGGACTTAAAGACTGCAATCTCATCTAGCAAGAGAAGCAACAGTCCTTCCTGAAGTTAAGTAGGGGATGGGGAATTAAGTATTTTGAATTTTTGTTGAAATCACAGCCTGTTTTAATGAAATGAAGTCAAATGGCCAGATGTGGAAATAGAGACACACTTACTAAAGAGTAAATGGATGGATGCTCTTCAACTTGAGTGAGAATTTACATACCCAAGATTCATCCCTTTCCTGCCTGGACCTTCGAGGACAACACAGGCACAGTGGCTTATGATGACTGTGGAAGCCAGAGTGCTGGGCAGGGAATCAGAGCCCTAAGCAGGACTGTCAGCAGGCCAGAAAAAGAGAGAGGACTGTGTCAGAATGGGAGAAAGGTGAGCAGGGTTGATGAGGGGAGAACTGCGTCCTACAGGAAACAAGCTGGCCCAGGTGGGATTCTTCAACATTCTAATGGCATCTGGGGATGAATTTTTCTTTTTCCTTTAATGACTACTATTTCATAAACCTAAAGTCATAAAAAAGAACAAGAAATCATTTGGTACTTCCACCACACCTGTCTGAGTATGGCTACCTTCGCAACCTGAGGAGAGATGTTAGGTCACTCTGCCAACCTTGTGCCCTTGACTGACTCTTGCTGCCATTTCTCTTTCTTTCTCTTTTTACACCTAAAGAGAACTACTTACCCTTTTTCTAAAGAAAGCATAAAAGGGAAGAAAGGGGAAAGAGGAGAAGAAAAGGCAGGGAAATATATAAGGTGACATAATGAAGATGGAAAAAAGAGAAAGATGGGAGAGTAAACTGAAGAAGGAATAGTAGATAAAAGGTAACTGGAAGAGAGGAAAGATATGATGATACTAAATGAAGGACTGAGGAAAGAAGAGGAAGCAGCAGAAAAAGAAAGACGAATGAGATCTGCCACCACCCAGCTAAACTGCCCTTGGCGAGTGGTAAATGCACCACGTGTGCCTTTGCCCTTGCAGGGTGGGAAGCCTGGCCCATGTGTATGTGGCCTAAGGGCCACCTTTGCCTCTCAAATATCATGTCAGGGTAAGAAGCAGCCTCAAGCAAAGCCCATCAGATTCCATTCCCTGGCTTGCCTCAAAAGAGTCTTCCTCAGCCCCAGTCCCACCAAGCCTTTCCCTGGAAAGCCCCCATTTCTTCTCCTTCTCACCAGCTCTTCCCATTTGCTCAAAGAAGCTATGAAGAAGACACAGGAGTCCCAGAGCAATGTTTTATCTGGTGGTCCCTGGACACCACTGGCAGAGGCGTCATCATCATATGCATCAACATACTTCACCGGGGGACTTCTGCAGGGTGTTAGCTCAGGCCAATACTGTAGGTACCACAATTAGGGTAGGGCACATGCTTTCACAATGGATCCTTCAAAATCATTTCCTTCTCTCAAGCAGATTAGATACTGATTTTCATGTACTTCTTGCTGTTAGTATATGGGGATTTCCATTCAGTCCACCCAAACTACAAATAGGGGAATCTGCTCTGGTAAGCCCTTTGCCATATGGAATCCACACTCTAAATGTCCAATTGCATTTGCAAACCACACTCACCAAGAGCCGATTTTCGGTCAGAACCAATTCTGTGAGGTTTTCACAATCCCCAACTGATTCAGGCAACTGTGTGAGTCTGTTCTGATCCACCTTCAAGATTGACAGCTTCTTAAGTTTTCCTGTAGAAGTGTTATTTAAACTCATTAGTCACAATTTTCCCCTAATCACCACCTGGTATTTCCTATCTGCTGTTCTTTTAATTTGTTTTACACAGTTATTTTTTCTTCACTCAGCTTTTTAAGTTTGAAACTATCATCATGCTCATTTATTCAGATCACTGAAAGTTGAGAGTTAAGATAATTTGTTCACAACATCAAAAACTGTCAGCCATCAGTAGTAAATCATTTTAAAAGGCATTGCCCAAAAATGATCATAATAGTAAAGCCAGAAAATAAAAACAAACAGCTGGCTCTTTAAGAAAGACCAGGAGATACTTAGTGTATGGTTGAGAAAGAGGAGAGACTTTCACCTTACTCCAAGAATCATCTTTACTGAAAACAGTAAACTGTAGTTTCTTACAGCACCTATGAATAAAAATGACTCAGAGAAAATCCCTATGATAAAATATTTCTATATATGCAGAATAGGGTGGTAATCTCTGAAAATCTAGATTAAGGGCTGAGCCTATTTCACCCAAGGCAGGAATACTTGACTTACTGGTCATGCCCACAGGCTACAGAGATGAATGAGGAGCTTTACTGAAGCCTTCTCAGAGTCCTCACTGAGTGAACCAAATCAAATCCACTGCCATCAAGATTACTCTGACTCATTGCAACCCTATCAGACAGAGTAGAACATCCCCACAGGGTTTCTAAGGCTGTAAATCTTTATGGAAGCAGACTGCTACATCTTTTCCCCACTAAGTGGCTGAGTGGGTTCAAACCGTTGACCTTTTGATTCACAGCCAAATTCTTTAATCACTGTACCCCCAGAGCTCCTCCACTGAGTGGAGGGAATCCTAAATTACTCAGTCAAATCTCACTTTCAACTCCAAGTCGCAAGACTGACCCACAGAGCAGGTGTCCTTCATTATCCTGAGAGCAACAACTGGTCTGAGGACACTTTCTCCAGTAAAATCAGAAAACAGCCTCCATCTTCTTGGAGATAGTAAGCTGGGAGAATTCTCTTACCTCATGTGCAGCTACTGGGCAAAGCAGAAGAATTAAATGTCCCTTAGACTCTACTGACATAATCAATAACCTGTTCCCCAAGGATATGCACCTGCCCTCACTCTCAGCACACATATTACCATTCAGCATTGAAACATCTCACCCCAACAGAGGATGGGTCTCCTTAACAATATCACTGGCAAGTGCTCTTCCAGCCTCTCCTTGAATACTTGTACTAACAGGCACTTACTTCTTCACTAAGCACCTAATCTAATTTGTAACAGTTATCTTTTTTTTAAACTTCTTTCTTAAAATGAAATTCACAATTCTTTCTTTTTCAGCCAATAGGTATTATATCAAACCACCAGGTTTTTCCCTTGCAAGTATTATTTTGCTGAAGATAATTCAAAAATGGTTGTAGCAGTGTATTGACAGGAAACTGCTAGAAATTCAAACTGGATTCAGAAGAGAGATATCTCTCTTCTGAATGAGATATCTGGAATGAGAGATATCATTGCTGATGTCAGATGGATCTTGGCTGAAAGCAAAGAATACCAGAAAGTATTACCTGTGTTTTGACTATGCAAAGTCATCTGACTGTGTGAATCATAACATGTTATGGATAACATTGTGAAGAATGGGAATTTCAGAACACTTAATTGTGCCCATGAGGAACCTGTACACAGACCAGGAGGCTGTTGTTAGAACAGAACAAGAGATATTGCATGGTTTAAAATCAGGAAGGGACTGCATTAAGGTTGTATCCTTTCACCATACTTATTCAATCTGTACACTGAGCAAATAATCTGAGAAGCTAGACTGTATGAAGAAGAATGCAGCATCAGGATTGTGGAAGATTCATTAACAACCTGTAACATGCAGATGATACAAGCTTCCTTGCTGAAACTGAAGATGACTCGAGGTGCTTATTGATGAAAATCAAGAACTACTGCCGTCAGTATGGATTACACCTCAGAATAAAGAAACAAAAATCTTCACAACTGGACCAACAAGCATCAAACAAGCATCACAATAAATAGAGAAAAGACTGCAGTTGTCAAATATTTCATTTTACTTGGATCCACAATCAACACCCATGGAAGCAGCAGTCAAGAAACCAGATGTCATACTGCACTGGGCAAATCATTAAATGGATCTCTTTAATATGTTAAAGAGCAAAGATGTCAGTTTGAAGACTAAGGTGCACCTAACCCAAACCATGGTATTTTCAATTGCCTCATATACATGTGAAAGCTGGACAATGAATAAGGAAGACCAAAGAAGAGTTGATGGATTTGAGTTGTGGTGCTGGTGAAGAATACTGAAAACACCATGGACTGCCAGAAGAACGAACAAATCTGTCCTGGTAGAAGTGCAGCCAGAAGGGTCCTCGGAGGCGAGAATGGCCAGACTTTGTCCCACCTACTTTGGTCATGTTGTCAAGAAGGGCCCATTCCCTGGAGAAGGATATCATGCTTGGTAAAGTGGAGGGTCAGTGAAAAGGGGGAATACCCTCAACAAGACAGATTGACACAGTGGCTGAAATGATGGGCTCAGGTATAGCAACAATTATAAGGATTGTAAGGATGGCACAGGACTGGGCGGTGTTACGTTCTGTTGTACACAGGGTCACGAAGAGCTGGATTTAAATCAATGGCATCAACCACCACCACCACCACCAACAAATCACCAAACCAGTCATCTATAAGTAGATTCCAACTGACAGTGACCCCGTACATTAAGGAGTAGAACTGCTCCACAGGGTATCTGTAGCTGCAATCTCTGTGGAGGCAAGCTGCCAGGTCTCTATTCTGCAGCACTTCTGGATGGGTTCCAACTACCAACCTTTACGCTACTTTAGTGCAAACTGTTCGCACCACCCAGGGACCATTTGTACGATGCTATTGTTGGGTGCTGTTGAGTTGATTCCAACTCATAGGTTAAAACAGAACTGCCCCATAGGATTCCCAAGGCTGTAAATCATTACAGAAGCAGACTGCCACATCTTTCTCCTTCAGAGCAGCTGGTAGGTTCGAACTACTGTCCCATCAGTTAGCAACCAAGCATTTAATCACTACCTTTTAAATGCTTCAAAGTCAGCCATTTCATGCCTCTTACCTCTTCCTAGTCAAAGCAAAATATCTCCAATTCCAAAAATTGCTTTTAGATGTCACATCTGATTCTCAATGAACATTTCTACATAGAGTCAAAGTCCCCATCCATTTTGCAACTGGCCTTAACAAAAAGGCAATTTCTATATTCTTACTGAATTGCTTTTATCAGTTATCACTTTTATCTCAAACAAATACTAGAAAGGAAATGGTCCTCTGTCATACAGCTTTTCCAGCTACTGAAAATCTTTTAAACACTTCCTTTGATGTTTTGAATAAAAGACAAATGAAGGTCAAAGACAGCCATCTTCTAACAACTCTAGGGTTAATGGCAGTTTCTTACAATTTCCAAGTGGCTTTGCTAAGGTGGAACTGCCAGTCTATGTCTGTTTGTTTATCCCTCTTCTGTTTGCATTTATTTCCCCATGGGACTGAATTCCTTTATAGTAAAGGAAATGGTCTGGTCTGATGTTTTTAAAGGAAATAGCATAATACAGTTAAGGTAAAAAAAAAAAAAAAAAAAGACTATCCTCAATATACTGGAAAAGGCTCAGCTCAAGTACAACATGTTTCCTTTAACAGCCCCCTCCTTAGGTCATGCAATAAGTCAAAGTTGTTTTCTCATAAACTACTTGGGATGCAGAATGAAAAATTTCTTAGTGATTGCTCATATACCGTAAACACATTCTATTATTTGGGCTTAGGTGCTTCTGAAATCATTTAAACAAGATGCAGATGAAACAGATATGAGTCAACACTTATAAGTAATAATTCCTCCAATCGCTACCCAACCAGGACAACAGGAACACTTGATTCAAAGAAACTTAAACTGTTACCAGTTATTCTTTTCTTTCCTAACAGCAAAAAAACAAGAAAAAGACTTTAAGAAGCTAATCCTCTGCACCTGAGTGCTGACGGAAGGATCAAAGCATGCTCCAAATGGTCAAGACAACTGCCTGTGTCTTTAGGAACTATTTCCAATACTTACCGATGCCATCAGGAATCGTTTCTAATAAGTTCTGGGAAATGACTAAGTCTGTTAATGAAGTCAGGCCACTGATTTCTTCAGGAAGTCGTTCCAACCTGTTTTCTGAGACATCCAAACACAGCAGATTCTTCAAATTTCCTATTTCCTACATCAGTGACATAGAAAAGGAGACTCACGTTTCAACCTGCCACAGTATAGAGGAATTTGTTACAGTGATTTTTTGCAATTAAATCCAAAAGCAGTCCCAAGGATGTAATCTTTAGTGTATCATCTAAATGTGAAAGCTGGCATAAATTCACAGACCCCCTTCTCATGGAACTGGGAAGCTGCATGAATCATAGACATGGAGCTGGGCAGGATGCCAAGCCCTCCACCTTCAGGCAGACAAGGAATCATTCTCATGTAATAGACGAGGAGACTGGTGCCAAGTAAGAACAAATGACTTCAAGGTCACACAATTAGGAAAAAAGGAGGTGAAAATCCAGTTCTCCAAGTTTGGAATCAATCACTAGTAAGCAGATTACGTTTCAGGGCAACCAGGGATTCTCTCTGGTAAGAAACCACTTTATATTTTTCCCAAGACAAGCAGTACTTGTTACCAAAACGTCAATGCTTTGCTTCTTGGCAAAACTGTACCATATAGAACCCACTGATATCTTTAAGATCAACAGATAAGACAAATGTGCTGCTTATTAAGAAAACAGTCCATCCAGGACCAGGGAAAGTACTTCAGTGAGTTTAACATTCAATTCAAGAGTTATCTTACCTTCCAATCACAAAATGAATTTTTTACAGATGTCTCTTGTATTTATTTCTCTCTTTCCATTCCCACTGGCCCTAGTTAAAGTCCTACTATCAGTATTCTCTTACCAGGACTGTTATCCCAGCCTCTTGGGACTCTGGGTTTTGATCCTTCCTTTCCAAGTCCATTCCAGAAACTGAGCTTCCTAATATCCCTCCTAGAGACACAAATCTTGTCATGTAAGCATACCACTCCCCATAAAAAAAACACATCCAGGACTCCCTGATGTCTACATGAATACAAATCTCTCAATCTATACTTAAGGTTTTCCATAATTTTGTTTGATCTATTCTTTTCAGCCTATCTCCTATCTATTATACCCTCTATGTTCTCAGCCTGGTATTTCTTGTCTTATAAGAAATCAGACTACCCCCTGAAGTGGTTCTACTTTTCATTAATTAACTTTAACAATGTCTTCACCTATCACACCAACTGGAAAACAGAAAAATAATTCTGATCAGTTGAGAGTTTCTGTTCTGAATGCTACTTCAACACAAGTTTATACTACAAGATGACCCCTTTCAGGTAAATAAGCTTTTAAAACAATCATTTATAACATGATTCTTAGAGCTTTGCTTTCTATGTTTTAGGCTGTAGCATTTTGCACACAGTCATTTACCCACATCTGTATATACATACACTCTCCCCTCTACATGTCTCATAGCTGGGGTTTTATTACTCTCCTGAGAGTTTCAGGATATTTTTCATCCCTACCCCTTGACTCCTAAAGTAACTAGGATTATATCCATCATCATTTCCCATACATTTACTTAGAGAAATCTAAGTATTCATTGAACCTTCACCCATGGCATTTGCTGCTTTGTCTCCTGTTCCCAAGTACAGTTAAAACCAAAAAACCAAACCAGTTGCCATTGAGTCAATTCTGACTCATAGTGATCCCATGTGTGTCAGAGCAGAACTGCTCTGTAGAGTTTTCAAAGTTGTGCCTTTTGGAAGCAGATCATCAGGCCTTTATTCAAAGGTGACTCTGAGTGGATATGAACCTCTAACTTCTGGTTGGCAGTCAAATGCTTAACCATTTGCATTACCTAGGGCCTTCTTAAGTACAGCTTATGACCTCAGAAGTAAGATTCAAATCAATGCCTTAGTTCTGTTAATACCAATGATTTCATAGTAATCTCAATAAAAATTTACTAATATTTTCTTCTAGTTTTACACTTCCCTGTGTTGCTATGGCATTCCCCACCTACAGTGCACAGGCCCATCACAATGGGTTCATACAAGTGGACAGAGAGACAGCATCTGAGTTTCTTTAAATACAAACACCTACAGAATGTAATGTATGCTGACTTCAGAGATTGGCTGTAAGATATCCTAAAGAATAACATTCAGTAAAAGTTAAGAGTAAAACAAAATAATGGGACCATGGTACATAGAAATGTTCATTTGGGTTTTTTTGTATGTGTATTGTTTTGTTTTCAGGATTTCTCTCTCTGGTTACCAGAATGGTGGCCCTGCTTACTAAAGGCTTCCACACAGAAGTCTGCACAAGACTCCATTTGGAACACGGTTCTCATACTTGGTACCAGGAGGAAACTTCAGAGCACTTTGGCATGCCAGCTAAGCCATAAGCAATATTCAAAAAAAATAAAAGTTTTAAAAATTGTTTTTAAATGAACTATTATAGGGCAAGGAACTCTGGTAGCATAGTGGTTAAAGCACTTGACTGCTAACCAGAAGGCTGGTGGTTCAAACCCACCAGCCACTCCTCGGAAGGAAGGTTGGGCAATCCTACTTCCGTAGTAATACTGCCTCGGAAACCCAAGGAGGGGTCGCTATGAGTCAGGGCCGACTCGACGGCAAACAACAACAACATTATAGGGCAAAATGTAGCTAAAATTATCCCAAAGTACTTGGAACATCACAAAGGGTGATAGAAATGTATAAAGTTCAAATAATGGCTCCTGGTAATTTATAAATCTGCTGGGCTTCAGGTCAGCTACATGGGTGGTAAGGTGAAACAAAATACAAACTTCACAAACAAAAGGATTTATCTGCTATCTTAGGAATGGTGGGCTTTTCAATTTTTCTATGGCAATGCAGAAAGATGAATGCTCAACACATTTTCTAATGTGCTTTTTCAATCAATGTTTCTGGTTTTCAGAAACATTTTATTAAAGTCATGTAGCAGCAAAGAATATAGGAAGTTTATTGTTGTTGCTGATGTTTTATGTTCTGGGAAAGAGATTATGAAACTACCACTTACCTGAGGTAATTCTGATAGTTGATTTCCATCTAACCAGAGATCCTTCAGATGTATGAGAGCTCCAATTGATTCTGGCTAAAACAATAAAAATAATGTTAGGGTAACAAAGACCTAATTTTCAGTCTTCCATTAAGAAAGACAGAATTCCAATTCACCAGTCAATAACTGGATACTGTAGCAGAAGAAGTCTGTTGGTATTTCTCCGATGCCAGGATTCCCTTAAAAGTGTCCCCTACTTTCCCCGAGAATTCCAGTTCTTGTTCCTACCTACACCTACCACCCCTAGTCCTGACCAACATGGACCCCATCCCACTCAAATCATAACCCTTAACTGTGTGAAATGAAGCACATTTTTTAGTATTCTCAAGTCATACCTGTGGAAATACTGGTTTATAAGCATCTCTATAAAGAAACCAAAAAAAACAAACCTACTACCATCAAGTCAATTCTGACTCATAGCAACCCACATTGGGTTTCCAAGGTGATAAATCTTTATGAAAGTAGATTGCCACATCTTCCTTTAACCATACCCACAGACTCTCTAAAATGTTTTGTGATCATAACTAAAGGTAAATTAAATTCAAATCTCCCTTCTATACAGACTTACCAAATTATATATTTCATTGTTTCCTAAATCAAGTTCTTCTAGTCTCCGTAGCTGGGTAAGAGAGCTATTTAAAAAAGACAGAAAGAAGGAAAAAAAAAAAAAATCAAGCAGTATACTTAGAACTTAGAAATGCAGACAAATATGGTATTCCTCACTTGGACCAGTTTTCAAAAAATAAGTTTCTTTTGAATCTTATGGGAGTAAACTATTGTATAGGAAGGACTATTATGAAATACCTATCTTCCAAACTTCCAAATAACAGAATCTTTTTCTGACAAAACATCAGTCCTTTAAAAAAAAAAAAAAATGCTTGAAGAAATTCATTCAAGACCAAATCCCCTCTTATTTTCCCCAAAGACTCACTCAGGAAGATAGGTAAGAAGATTCTCTCTCAGTTCCAGTGAAGCCAGGTTATAAAGACTAGAAATCAACAGAAGAAATACATATAAGGAAAAATTCCTGAGATTCCTCTACTCCAGCTCCCCCAAACACACACCCAACAAGTAGCAACTCTTAACAAAACCTTGGACATCACTTTCTAGGGAAAAAATATCTTCTACCACCCTCCCACCAACTCTATGAAAAACAAACATGTTCTTTATCTCCCAAATTTTAATATTAAAATAAAAAGAGTAATGTGTCATGACTATAAGGCATCCTCACTCAATTGTTGTGTGTATTTGATATATTACAATTATGTGACTAGCCATTAAAACCATTCCCGGGACCAAGATAGAAGCCAAATCTGTGCTTCTAGACTCCAGAATGTAAAAAATGTGTGGTTACCATAAAAACAATAATATATTTACTCCCGCAAAGCTCAGAGGTCTTTTTCCAAACATGAGGGGGCAGGGACATCCTTGTTTTAAAGTGGCAGAAATTTCAGTCCAGAGAATCCAAGTGCTCTATTAAGATTACCCACCCACACTCCCACACTGCAAGTGGCTACACTCTGGAAATAACTTCCACTTAAATGCATTAGGGATAATGTAATAATGCACCTTGCATGGTGCTGGGGACATAAGGCTGATTCAATAAATGGTAGCTATAATAATGTTGCTTTTATTTTTATTAAACCCCAAGATGGTGTTTCTTCCAGCAGATTCTACATTCTCTCGGGGGTAATTGTGTCTATTTGAAGCATGGTGAAAAGAGACAGATGTTCTCCCCAGACACTGATTATTTGGGTCAAATTTTGACAGGCAGCGGCATTTCTGAGTCATCAGAAACACTTACTTTCCACATTATGTCAGCACTGGCACTATGTATTGATTCAGAAATTAACTGATCTATCTATTACCTAAACAGCACTAATATCACCACAGTAATACTCTCATTGGAAGAACTTTATTGTGAGCATACAGAACACAAGGAGTCAGACATTATCCTAACACTCTAATCTGCCTTAATCTTCTCTTCTCCCATCTTCCAAAATAAAAGCCAGGATCATATGTACTTACAAAGCTGGTTTCACAATATCAGAAAATGGAAATCTGATCTAAGTGAACAGTATATATACAGGTTTAAAACCTGTTTGCCTGGAAATGAATTATGAGATACACAAGTTCTATGTATCTCTTTCTCTAGATTTAGGAACTTGGATAACAGTTCTTACAGCTAAAGCAATAATAAACAAATAAACCTATTTCAAATACATTTTCAATCATTTTTGAAAAAGTGGTAAATATATAGGTAACAAAACAGTTGCCACTTTAACAATTTTCACATACACAGTTCAGTGACAATAAATATGTTCATCATGCTGTTCAGCCATCACCATTAGCCACTCCTGGATTTTTCTATCCCCATTAACAAATGCTCACTGTCCCCTAACTGACAGATCTTCCCTTCCTCCTCCCTCCTGCTCATCCTTGGTAACCACTGATAAACTTCAATCTCTATTCAAATGTATTTTTTAAAAATTAAAATTCCTGATGACAAATAATTATGAATTTAATGTCAACATTTTTCAAATAAAATGTAACTTACTGAGAAGTCCCAGCTATCTAATTTTACTTACTCTTGGCCAAAAGTTTTTAAAGAAGAAGCACTAGTGGGAAAGAGGCGGAAGGGAGAAACAGACTCCCCTCCCTACGATCTCCTTCCAAAAGCATCTGTGAAGAATGGTGGCAAGTGACACTTTCAATGGAGTCCTGGGTGGGACAAAACTTTAACACACTGGCTGCTAACTGCAAAGTGGGAGGTTCAAGTCACCCAGCGGCAGCTCAGAAGAAAGGCCTGGTGATCTACTTCCAAAATATCAGCCACTGAAAATCCTATGGAGAACAGTTCTCCATATACAGGGTCACCATGAGTCAGAGCCAACCCCACAGCAAAATAACAGTGAAAATAAAAATGAAAACTGTATAGGATTTTGTTTTAACTTTTCAGGTAATACTTAGCCAGTTTCATAGAGAATCTACACATCTGGTTATTTTTATATTGGTATTTTAAAAAATCACTAGTAGAACTTTTTTTCCTATCCAACTTTTATACCTATTTTGGCAAACTAAGAGTCCCACTATCAAAGAAATAAAAGGTCTTTTTTTGCTTCAAACACTTTACCTGTGGAGCATCATGAGAAGCATTCTCTTAAAAACACTGCTTTGCTCAGGCCTCGGTGCTGAGTGTTTTACAAAGGTTCAGCAGCCTTAGTCTCAGTTCAACAGCTTCAGTGTCTCCTGCCTACAGAGCACATACACCACAGGCAGAAGCCCGGCATGGGGCATGAGGCACTGGGCAAGCCTCCTTACACACACGCCATCTCATATGACAATAACAACCTCAGCATGTAGACTAGGTTGACACAGTTAGGAAAGTGAGGCTTTATGTGAGGTAAGTAGACATGGTATAATGTTGCTATTAACCACAGTATAATGGTTAGCAATCAGAACTCTAAATCCAGTGATTGGAGTTCAAGTTTTGGTGGAACTTACAGTAGTTTTAGCAGCCCTGGTGGTTCAGTAGGAACCATGGGTGTTGCAGTGGCTAAGCATTCAGCTACAAACCAAAAGGTTGGTGGTCTGAATCTACCAGCTACTCCGTGGAAGAGAAATGGACAATCTGCTTCCGTAAAGAGTACATGGTTGGAAACCCAATGGGACAATTCTACTCAGTCATATAGGGTGGCTATAAGGTGAAACCAACTCATTGGCAACCGGTCTGGTGGTACAATGGTTAAGCACTCAGCTGTTAGCTGAGTGGCAATTCAACCCAATCCAGCAGCTTGACAGAAGGAAGACCTGGTGATCTGCTCCCATAAAGGCTGCAGCCAAGAAAATCCTATGGGTCAGTTCTACTCTGCCATACAGGGTTACTATGAGTCGAAATCAATTCAGTGGCGCCTAACAACAAAGTCACAATTCAAACCTAGTCAATGACAAAGCCCCTGCCCCCAACCTATACGGTCCTGAGGCACACATTGCATCTTCCATTCTCTTGAATATTCTATATAATTTAAACTTTAAAAACACTTATCAATTTTGGATGCATATATAAGTCTTATCTTTATGACCAAAGGACACTGAGATTTTTGTTGTTTTAGATTAAAATAGATTGCTCCCCACCACCGTCACATTCGCATCCAAATATAATATAACCGGTTAAGTAAAAAGCTTCTAAATACAAAAACCTCTCAGTTTCTACTCTTTTGGGATAGTCTGGAAAAGTGTGGATATAAGGTGCCATGATATCAATCACATTTTTATAATTTTCAAAGGCAAAAAATGAATTAAAAATAAAGTATATAAAATTAATTTTTCTGAGTAATGCTTTCACACTATTTTAAAAAAGGAACTCAGACATTATAATCAGACACCACAGATCCATCGATGAAAGCATCACTCTAAGAAAAGAGCACATTTGGAATAGGAGACCTGAGGTTCCAGTTCAAATCCTGTCCTTGTCTCTCACCAATTAGCTGGATTTGCTAGGCTAAACTTCTTCATTGCTATCCCTCAATTTCCCTTAATATGAGGATAATTATATTTAGGCAATTGGAACATAATTTATTTTCTCATCCAGTTAAAAGAGCTAGTTTTGTCCCTTATTGCCTTGGGACAGTCCTTGTCCCTAAGCACAGTCAGGTATCTTGCATGTGCATGTGTGTTGTCCGTGCTGTAGAAAGATCACAGCAGTCATCCCTACTACTGAAACCTACTCAAAGGACAAGGGTAGATGGTTAGTGGGCAACACTGGACAACTTTTAACTTACTATATAATCTCCACAGCAGTAGACTCAGTGGATAACAAGGAATAAAAAGCAAAGAAATGGTTTTGATGGCAGACTCCCAATGTGAGCCCAAACTTCATAGATAATCTGGTCAAATCCAGAGGATCATTAATTGACTATAGAATAAAACAGACTGTACAATAAACCAGATGTTTCCTTCTCATCAGGAGCTTGCCCTAGATAGTTCCAGACCAACGTGCAGAACCCCACTAGCCCACTTCAAATTGTGATTCTCCAAATTGCTCTAGCAACAGCTAACATACAACAGGATCAGCCTGAATACAGAATTAGGCTAGACACATTAATACAAAAAGGAAAGAATGTCTTAATGAGCACACTTCCTGGTCTTTTGGAATACCCTATCTTCAATCAACACTTCAGGACAGTACCTATTCCCCTATCAAGGCAATCTATTTAACTCAGACATCTTTTGCACCTAACAAAAAAAAAAAAAAAAAAAAGAGTAGTGGTGGGGTGGGGAATTTGAGCCCAAGTCTGTCTACTTGAAAGCACAAGCTCCTAGTGACTAAGAGAAACAAGGAGGCCCAACCCCCACATGCATTTATCAGCCACTTCAGTAAAACATGTGGAGTTGCCATGAGTCGGAATTGACTCGTTGGCAATGGGTTTTGTTTCTTGGTTCAGGTAAAATATTATAAAGACAAAAGAAATCATTTAGTATTTCTAATGCTTTAAAAAAATGTGGCAAAAAATTAGATACCTGACAGGCAATGTGAGAATTACTGGTCTTTAGTACTCCTGGACTAATAATGACAGATACTGTTTTAAGTGATTTACAAATTAACTTTATGGATGAGAACAGCTAAAGAACAGAGAGGGAATGTGAGCAAGGTTTCTCACATGTGCTAAGTAAAGCCAGTATTCACTAAGGAATCTGTATTTTTAACACTATGTTTGCTACCTCTCATTCTTGAGTTATTAATTCAATCTTATAGATAGGTAATATATTGATGTGAGTAAGTAGTACAATACATATCTATACCTATATTCACTCCTCACTTATTGACATGGTTAGGATCCAAAGATCAGGTGATCATGTGAAAGTCAGCATTACGCAAAAATGGAGGATGACTACATCATCACATAACTGCCAACTGCATCATTATGTAACTGCCAAATTTCACCATTACATAATTACATAACTGCTGAACCATTGAGAATCATGGCC